GAGGAGACAGAGAAACACCGGGAGCCAGGAGGAGGAGTGGCATACCAAGAATCGGACAGTGCTGGCATACATCGCTGCAGCCGGGGTGGGGATGATCGGCCTGTCATACGCTGCAGTGCCGCTCTACAGGCTCTACTGTCAGGTGAGGAGGGAAAACTCCAGACCTTCTGATTCTAAGCTGGTCCGAGGAGTCTGAGTGACCCCTGTGTTTGTGTGTCAGGCAACAGGGCTTGGCGGCACAGCGGTGGCCGGCCATGACGCAGGTGTAGTGGAGACAATGACGCCAGTGAAGGAACGCCTCATCAAGATCACTTTCAACGCTGACATACATGCCAGCATGCAGTGGAACTTCAGACCGCAGCAGACAGAGATCTTTGTAAGACCTGCTTCACCCTTAACACCCTGGTTCTATCACGTTTTCCCTTTAGCGTTCCGGCAGTTTCAGATCTTTTCTGGTCCTCTGACACATCACATGAGCCATAAACCTCCAATATATAAACAGCCAGTGATTTCCCCATCATTAGAAAACTGTCTCAGTGCCCCTGATGGCCACTAGACACTGACCACCAAAAATAATGCTGTCAACTTCTTTGTAGAAATACTAAGCCGATAATTATTTTTGCGGGATCAGTCTGTTGATTCACATCCTCTAATAAGTGCACCTGTGGTCATTTTGGAGGTTGTTTCTGCATTAGTAAGATTTTTGGGCTTATGGAAACTTTGATGATTGACAGGTGGCTGCCTGCTGCTCACTCCACTCACACTGTGCTGGACTTCCACTGCTTCCGTTTCTAGAATAAACTTCTGCTGTGGCTATGGTCAAGGATGGTGCTGATAAGACCGTGAGAGATGCTGTCTCATAGTGTTTCATTAGGTTTAATGTTACTTTATCACAATTCCTGGTTTCTATGAAGGGACAGCTGACCTTCCTGTCACCGACTTTCTGAAACCATCCTCCTTGTGTTTCTTTTTCCCCAGCGCAGCAGTGGCATGACTTAGAGTCTCTTTGTCAGTCAGTGATAGAAATGTGGCTCAAAGTACAGCTCGGTTCTTTTGTTTTCTGTTTATCACACATCCGTTTATTTTCCTACCATTTGAGATGACGTCCCTGCTTGTCACTGCGTTTCTGATGCAGAAACATGGCGTCTGTGTTAATCCCACCTGCAAAGCTCTGATTGGCCCAGTTTTTTTCCGTAGCTGTTTGAACCACTGACAAAAGTTGATGTGGGCAGAGAGATTCAGAGCTCATGTGTAGCTGGAAACCTGTGTTTGTTGTTGTCCAGGTGGTTCCAGGTGAGACAGCACTGGCCTTCTACACAGCCAAAAACCCAACAGACAAACCGATCATCGGCATCTCCACCTACAATGTGGTGCCTTTTGAGGCAGGACAATACTTCAATAAGATCCAGGTATGGCTCCAGTAGCAGTCTATTATTTTCGATGTTACCCTGCTCAGGACAGCTGCACACGCAGGGTAATGTTCTTTACAAAGCATCATCCGTTTGCTTTAAATTAGTAGATCAGATAATGTGACTTTTAAACAGCTGCATTCTAGTTGAGAAGCCGAACCTCCCACAAATGTCCTAACTTGAATACGTCATAACCAGTGGATGACTCTGAGAAATGCAGCCTTCTTGCACATATATGTGTTAATGTGTACTATCCAGCAGACAGACTCATGCTCTGGTTTAACAGCTGGAAACATGCCGATTTTGTTATCAGAGGTGTGACTGACAGCTGAGAGGTGCCAAGGAAGCTAAGGCAGAGATAGTGGATTGCACCACACTGAGGCAATCCCACGGAGAAGAGAAGGTTTATATCAGAATCAGCTTTACTGTGGAAAGACTTGTCTGAACTCTCCTGTCCCAGGAGCTGCTGGTACAGTTCTACAGAGGACTCATTGACTCTGTTCTCTGCACCTCCATCACTGTCTGGTTTGGCTCAGCAACCAAACAGGAACAGCCTCCAGAGGACCGTCAGGACTGCAGAAAGAACCATCGGTACCAGCCTGCCTGCAAACTCCTCATGTGTCCAACACAACTGGCCAAAAAGCTGATTCTGATTCTGTTATAATCAGACTCTTCTCCATGGGATTTCCTCAGTGTGGTGCAACCCACCACCTCCGCCTTAGCTCCCCTGGCACCTCTCAGCTGTCGGTCACACCTCTGATAACAAAATCGGTGTGTTTCCAGCTGTTAAACCAAGAGTTTCCCACCATCTCTCTGCAGTGTTTCTGCTTTGAGGAGCAGCGTCTGAACCCTCACGAGGAGGTGGACATGCCCGTCTTCTTTTACATCGACCCAGAGTTCGATGAGGACCCCAGGATGGCCCGAGTAGACACCATCACCCTATCCTACACCTTCTTCGAGGCCAAGGAGGGTCAGAAACTCTCTCTGCCCGGGTACAGCTACAACTGATCTATGCACATGTGCTACAGGAGAGGGCCACCAAAATACTGGAGCAGAAACCTGCCTGTGGTCTGTCAGGGTACATGGCAGATGGAAAAATAACCCAGGACCCTTTTCTTTGATGTAAGTGCTTATCGGTCGGATCTTAATCTGTAGTGCAAAGAGACTTTTACACAGAAAAACATGTTTTGGGTAGAATTGTTTATTTTAAACCAAGGAACAGGGTTGTTGTTCCTAGTGCAGCAACTCTTTTGTATGCAGTTTCTCCAGAAATGAACAAATCTGGAACAAATGTCCAGGTTCTAAAACAGAATCTTAGGGCCACTGTAAAATAATCTGAGATCTTTAGAATGAAGTCAAAATAAGTGCAGCTTGACAATCAGTGGTTCAGGATGTGGACAGATTAAAACTTGGAGGCTGATGTCAGGTGGTTGATTTTAGAGCAGCACAACGGTACGTTCACATTAGCAGGCAAGCCCTGGTTTTTACTGCTGTGATGGAGTATGTTAGCAGTCTACCATAACCTTTGTGTCCCCAAAACATTTTCTTTGTTTTATTCAATGTATTTTCATTTGTACGTGGATTCATTTTGTCTTGTGGGTCTTAATTACAAAAAAAGTCTGATTCTCCATTAAACTTTTCAGATCATTTCAGCCTGTGAAGAAATGAGCCGGTACTGTGGCCTTTTTCTTTTAAACCACCAGAGTGCAGTCTTTTGACATGGTTATTTATTAGGAATTATTAGGGTTTTAAATCAGCTCAGGAGCAATAAACAATGTACATTAGTAGATAATGACTGATGCGTTATTGTGTTCATCACATCCATGTTACAGCTGGCAGAGCTGAGCAAATGTTAACTACCATACTTATAATTTTAAGTACATGTATACTGCTGGGTAGCTTTTCTACTGGCACCAATCAAATCTTAACTTCTGAAAATAATCATAATTTGTTTGTTATATTTTGAATTATTAATGTGAAGTAGCTAAAGTGATCAGATAAATGTATTGCAGTTAAAAATGCAGTATTTGCCTCTGAAGTGCAATGAAGTAGCAGAAAATGGAAATACCCTCCAAATTGTATCTTACTGCAGTGCTCGAGGAGATATGCGAAGTTACTATACAACCCTGTAGATTCTCGATCATGCTTTTATTTTGTAATAAACGGGAGCTCCTGTGTCCACCGTCCCCTCCCGCGGGTTGATGGACGTGTCCGGCGTCAAATCCAGGCTCGTGGTTTCCCTAGCAACTCAACGGATGGGCCAATCAGACGGAGACAGACGAAGCCGCACACTCCCACCGTCCCCAACTCCCTCTCCTCACCCTTCCCCTCCGCTGGTTCAGGAGAGGCGGAGGGCTCTCATTAGTCCTTAAGCCGAGCGGACCGTCTGCGGTGGGTTTCTACGTTCGTGCGCAGAAGCGCGGTGCGTCCTGTGCGCGCTGATGGCAGGGCGGGCGCAGTCGCCCTGTGACAGCTGTTCATGTTGCTGGTTAACGCTGGTCACCTGGACTCGGATTTGGTGAGAACCTGGTGAACGAACTGTCTGTTCAGTGTGGAGGCGCGCAGGGTCCTTGTCGTGGATCGTGAACTGGCTTTAATCAGCGCGGGCGTATTTCTTTAGACTTAACGCGTCTCTCTTTATCCACTCTTCTTGTTGTGCCCCGGGAGGAGGGCAGGATTTCTGCTGCCATGAGGGGACACGGCAGCTGCCATTTGGTGAGAGGATGAGCCACAGAAGCAGCCCGGCCAGGGCGTACGACTTTCTGCTCAAGTTCCTGCTGGTGGGGGACAGCGATGTCGGGAAGGGCGAGATCCTGGCGAGCCTGCAGGACGGAGCCTCCGAATCCCCGTACGGATACAACATGGGTGAGTGCGTGACACCGAGCTGGAGTGTGGAGGTCAGGGTGCGGAGAGGGGGTTGTTTAGTAAACCCACCTGTCTCGTTGTTTTTTGGAGTTTTACGCGCACGGGTTCCCTGTTTTTACGCACGGTTTAGGCATGGGGTGAGGAGACTCCAGCTCTGAACCCATGGAGCCAAACCAAGTCACAGAAGTTTCTCAGATGCTGAACATCTGCTCCACACACTCTGGCCTCAGGTAATCCCACACTGGTGCCAAACGAGCCAAGCCTGAGCCCAGTACTCTTAAATGGAATAAATCCTTCTCAGGCGAGAGTGGACTAGACAAAACCAACAGTCTGGACATTTCGCAATCTGTAAACAGAAGAAACGATAAACACATGGTATACAACTTTAAAAAAGGGTTGATCAGTGGTTTGGTGTCGCACGGTGACTGTGGCTCTTTTTGCCTTCTCATTTTATGCAGTATGGTCTATGATTTGTCAGATCCAACTGTCTCCATCTGGTTTTGTCTCTTCGTGTCTAATTCTCGATGGACTGTAGATGAATTTAGTTAATAAACCCGTTTCTTCCAAGAAGCGCTGACGTCAGATGATGGACACAGAACATTACTGAACGTCAGCTGTTTCTGATTAATGGCAGCGCAACAGGTCAAGCAGCTAAAACAGCGTCTGCACAGGAGAGGTTTGGTTTCACTGATCTGGAGCCGCAGTCCGAGAGGCCACACACGCTGCAGGTCACCGAACAAGACGTTGCATTAAGATGTAATTACTTCAGTTGGAGCTGCAGCAGCCTCGTGTCCTGCCAGCTTAAAGATCGGAGGGTTTCGCTTGTTTGTTTGTAGTTTAACTTACTGATATTTGTGATGATGAACATAACTGGAAGACCCGTAACTATAGATCCCAAGTCCCAGCGCCTCATACCTGACGTTTCCACAGAAGTGTGAACAGACCAAACCTGATGTTCTCACCTGCATACGTTCTCCTAGATCCGATTTCTATCCGATCTATGACTGTGTGACGCGGTCAGACACAGTATAGTGTGTATATACATGCGTTTCCATGCGTGTGCAGCGTAGTGCTGCAGTGCTGAACCTGCGGGAGCCTGTCAGGTATTAATAAACTGTGCTGGCAGGCAGCTGCTCATGACTCACACTCTCTCGGCAGGAGGTCGACAGGATGAGTCGCTGCTCTGCGGCTTCACACAGCTTACACATGATGTAACTCACAGTCTGTCCGCCATATTTGAGATCTGTAGCTCC